CACCCCTCAAAAAAATCAGCTAGAAAATGATAAGCATTCCAACAAATTCATTTACTCATCATGGTGATTATGTTCTTAGTAGAACAATGTCCCGGGAAGCCAGTTGGTCCTGTTAGTACCAACACACACACCTGTCACACCCACGCATGCGTTCTGCCCCTCCATTCTCCATTATAGGGTGGAGCATCACAAGAGGCACCACAATCTTATAACCTGTCATCTTCATTCCTGTCTCAAACCTCATGGGTCTTACTTAGAAGTACGGAGCTGTGACAACAGGGTCAACATATGCACGTTTCACAGCCTTCTCTATGCATAAAGTACACATACAAAAAACAAACCTCTCCCACTCTTAGAATCTGCTGCTGGCACAAAATCTCTGACTTTCCCAGCCGCGCTGTTTCTCCAAAATATTATCTCACACCTGCAACTCAAATCTAATATAAGGGATAGACAGTACAGGGTGCAAGTACCAATTTTCAGCTGAACTCTGCCAGTGAAATAAGACGCTGTCAAATCATTTCCTAAATGCAGTTCCCAATCAGCCATAAGGTGATCTGTGAATCTCTCGATTCCTTGAAGTTTTTCCTTTTGCCTATGACTTATTGTCACTTCACAATTAGCATTCTACAGATGCATGCAACAAGAAAGCATGCAATTTTTAAATATCTTAAATGTTTTAACAACTCTGGGGAAGTCAGGTTGGGAAATGATGGAAAATAAGGTTCTGGTTTTCAGGCTCACATATGAATTCTTTTCCACTTTAACATAGGATTATCAAAAAATGGGCTGACCGAGCACAGTGGCTCATACCTGCAATCCCAGCACTTCAGGAGGACGAGGTGGGTGGTGGATCACCTGAGGTCAGGAGTTCAAGACCAGCCTGACCAACATGGCAAAACCTCGTCTCTACTAAAAACTCAAAAATCAGCCCGGCGTGGTGGTGGGCACCTACAATCCCAACGAATTGGAAGGCTTGGAACGCAGGAGAATCGCTTGAACCCGGAAGGCGGAGTTTGCAGTAAGCCGAAATCGCGCCATTTTACTCCAGCCTGGGCGACACAGCTAGACTCTGTCTCAAAAAAAAAAAAAAAAAACAAACAAATGGGCTAAAAACTCTAATAACCTAATTTTTAGATTCACAAAGAGATTACACTTCCCAGGGGAATATAGAAATTCTAATTTGCTACCTACTCTTTGGCTTTCATCACCATACAACCTAATACTGCAGAATAATGTACAGCTACTATTATTCTCTCTTTGCTAATAGTAATTTTTACCTAAAAAAATTTATATGAGTAAACAACTTAAATGATACTGACTTATTTTCATCTTTGTCAATATTGTATTTATGCATTAAACCTAGACAACTAGCTCAATATTCTCGCACTGTATACCAAAAGGATTTATTACTAATATTTTAACCAAAAGTACCACAAACAGTCCCTTACTTTCCCTATTGAGTTAAATATTATGTGATTCTATAGAAAAAACTTTACAAACGTTTATTTAATTACATGTAAACTTGGAAGTGAACAAAAAATGAAACATTCGTTTCACTATAGCAAGTAAAACGTAGTATTTCAAATATACTGATTTAAATTTGGGATTAATGCCTACACTCAACAAAAAGGTCAAAAAATAATTATAAAATCATCTTTTAATTAATTCACAAAGTGAAGGCTCTCTATACGTTTTTCTTAGATAAATCTTGCATTTAAAATAATAGTAATAAACATTATTTAAAAAAACAAGTTTTAAGCATATATCAAAGATTGCATTCATGGCTACATAAAATATCTAAAATGTTTCAGTCACAATTTAGTACAAAAAGCATTTTCATTGTTTTGAAATAAACTATCATGAAACTATTATAACTAAGTTTCAAGTGTGAGGCTCTTGAAGCTGTATTAAAAAAAACACACACACACAAAAACAAACAAAAAAAACTAAGGACTTTGATGAAAAGCTTTTAAATAAAAGCCCTTAGTTTACTGCTCCTGAATGTAAATCCAACATTTTTAGGTGTAGAAAAATTAGAAACTGTGCAATTAATAGACTGGGAAGTCAAAATCATTGCCAGTAACTACCTGCTGTCTGCTGAATTTCAAGGGAACCTGCTGTATATTAAATTTTAAGAAAGTAAACTCACATACCCTCTCACCTCAACACTTTCTCAATTTTCCCATCACAATTAACAATATAACTCGGCAGTCAAGTCTTCCAGGCCAGTAACATCAGAATTTATTTTTAACTCTTGACTCCTTCACAAATATTCCCCTTAAGTCCAGTCTGCAGTTCTGCCAGTTTTTCATTCACACTGTCTTACAAACCTGTTCCTTTCACCTGATTTTCACATTTTACTTTATTCTCTCATGATTCAAAACATACCCTACTGGTTCCCTAAAAAAGGCTCTAGCATCTCTCTACTATAATTCATTAATTCAACAGCAAAAATCACCTTATACCTTGTTCAGCAACCAACATGAATCCAGATCTCTTTTGAATCTCAACCAAACTTTTACAGAATCTCTCTGCCCTCCATGAGCTAACGTTCTCTTATTTCTCAAATTCCATGTATTCTTATGTTTTTATTTAGGCCCCTTTAACACATATTTGCCAACTTGATTATTGCCTCTCATGCATGCAAAACTCACCATCTTTGTGCCTCAGTACACTCCCACCAAGACCTTTCATGCTTTTCTATCAGTTCAAGTTACCACTTCCTTTAACATGTCATAAAATATACCTTGTCCACAAGAAGTCTTTCCTCTCCTACCCCTCAGTCTCAGGTCTTACCCCTTTACTCCTGGTCACTCTGAACAAATGATCCAATTCGTATTTTATAATTTTGCAGTCATCGTGCTATTAATTTTTTTTTTTCCTAAAGCCTCCTCTACAACTAAATGATAAACTTTTGAGACCAAGGACTACAATTTCTTGTCTCTGTTCTGAACAGGGGTCCCTTAGAATGCTAGCTTAAAGACTTAAAATGCTTAAAAGACTCCCCTTTATTTTAAATATCTTTAAAGTCAAAGCTGTCAAAAACATATTATTAACACTAAAGTCCAACTTTTTAAACATCTTCATCTGTAAATTTTACAAGTTACTCCATCCTTAGTCAATATCTGTATTATAAAGAATTCAAGAGTCATTTTAAAGAAAATCCCGGAAAATGAAACTTCTCAAAATGCAGTATTATAATCTAGCATTATAGATCTCTGAAATAAAGCTAATAAATCAATTACCTGAAATTGATTGGTTTTCAAACTATATTATCTAGATGTAAAACAAACAAACATTCCAGTACCACAAGAGGCTCGAAAGTAGCTATTAGAAGACTTGTACCATTATAGCTGAAAATTACCCTGGAATTTAAAAATATTTTTCAAATGACCCCATGAAGTACTTAGAAAGCAGGACCCTTCCCTGAAATATGCATAATCAGCTTTCCTCTTTACCTACCCCAGCATTCATTTGCAAGACACCTAAAAAAAAAAATTTAACTTTCAAAAATAATCTCCAATTCAGCTATTACCTAGACTATCCTGTTTCAGGCTAGTTCCCAAAGCCAACATGAATTGAAACGCTGAGTTCAACTAAAAGTGATCATTTTATGTTGCCTAAAGATATAATCAATTTCACATAACATACATTTGGGGGGGGGGGTTCTTAAAATCTCAGTTCTTTAGTTCTTCTAGGATACAAAATAACTTGTCTTTGCCCTTATCATGCCCCTCTTTTCCACAATAAGGAAACAATATAGATATTTTTGTTAAATTCTGGAAGTATGTTTAAACAAGCTATCATTAAATACCACATGAACAGCTCCACAAACAGAGATACACTGGAACATTAGATACTTGGTATATACTAAACACTTCAAGAGCATACTTTTCAGCCCAAACCCAGGACGAGAGTACAATGTATCCACAACCTTGAACGCAGCCCAAATATCCCTATTATTTCTAGGACCACAGCCATCTGCAAAAGCCAAAATGGAAAGGACTAAATCCACATTCTTCTAACTAAATCCAGTGTTACCTAAATGAGGTGGTAACTAACGCAAGAGTATTTTAAATGTCCTTTTTAAGGAACCCCCCTGTACTACAGAACATTTAACAGGTAATGAATGCAACAGCACTCCAAAATTTAACTTAAATGATAATGAGCCAGTGACAACATTTAACTTAGTATTTGGCACGATGACAAAACAAACAAAACTTGGACCTATTAATATTTCCAAGTTACCTTTTGATTAAATAATTATACAGTGGCAGGTTGATAATGTCAAAACAGGAGTTTAAGAGATAACACATCAAACCACTTATCCAAATTGAAGACAATGCATACAGAGATGCTACTGCTGCTGGGTATTTATTGGCTCCCACTGGTCCCTTCTAAAGGGAGAAATCAATGCCAGTCTCCAAATGTGAATGGTTACTGAGGAAGTTCATCCACAGATTAAGAATATTATGTATAGTCATACAGACAAGAAAAAAATGTTGGGAGAGTGGGACATTTCACGTTTCAATAAAGTATACCAAACTATGATAACCCCTGAGACCTAAAATACCCTCACTCATTCCAAAAGGCATACGTTCTGCAAACGTACATAATGGTTTATGAATCAAATCTTGTCCTCTTTATTCTAAAGGATGAGCAAGTAAACACTGTCATCACTAATATAACGTGGAAACACTCAAGCACTTGATGAAACTAACTACCAACAGCAAGAAAGTATACGAAAAGAAAGCAGTTTCAAATCGAATCGTCCAAATAAAAATCATATTCTCTCAATTCAAGGTTAATGAGACCGAGGGAGGGGGTATGGGAGAAGAAGAGAGGGAGCTGCTTCATTCTTGACTGAAGACAGGTTTTGCTCTTTTGCATTACCTGTTTGACTGTTTTATTAAGAGGTCTATTATTTTCAGATTCTGGTATTCCGAGGTTTCTAAGGGCGAGGCGGAAAAGGAGTGTAAAATAAAATCAATACTCACTGCTAACTTTCATGCTGCCAAAAGCTGAAGGCTGCTGCACCGGCTTGCAGCTCTCCGCAAAGGAGGTGGTTCTGGGCCGCCCTGACATGATCGCTCTCTTCGCGAATCACCTTTTCCTTCCTTCCTCCTTTTCTTCCTTTTGTCTTTATGTTGGGGTGTTAGGTTAATAATAAATGCAGCATTAAGTCCTCCCACAGAAGAAAAAGAAACAGACTCGTCCTTTCGGCTTTCCACTCCTTTTGTATACTATAAAAAAAAAGAGCGATGTATTTTTCCTTCAAGATAGGTCTGCACGGATATTTAACATATAGATGATTTAGGGCTGGGGAAAAAAATACAATTCTTTCCCCTTCTTTTCTTGGGAGGAGAAAAAAGGGGGGAAATCCTAAAAAAATATATATCACATGAAACGGGGGCAAATACTTGATTGAAAATGAGTACTTCAAATATTATATTTTCCTCGGGGATTTTTTTCCGAGTCAATGAAGAAGGGAAGCGGCGGAAGGATCACGAGTCTCACGCTTGAAGAGAAAGGGGGATGGGAAGGAGGGAGGGAGAGGGAGGGGGTGGCTCGGAGAGGCGACGGGAAACGCTGCAGCTCCGGCAGCCGCGGGATCCGGCGGGCTGACGGCGGGGGCCCGGCGAACTGAAGGGCGGTGGAGTCGCGAGTCAGTCAGAGACGGGCGGTGGCGGTGGCGGCGGCTCCTCTCCTCATTGCGCCAGGAGCAGCTGCAGGCGGCGGCTGGATCCAGCGGCCATGGCGGCGGCGGTGGCGGTGGCGGTGGCGGAGGCAGCTCCCTTCAGACCCCAGGCAGCGGCTCCTCGACTGCTCCCCATACGCAAGGGACATGGGAACCCGGCAACCGCTTCCGTCTCTCGGGGCCCCCTCCCCCGTCCGCGGCACCAGCGCGGCCGCCCTCCCGCCCCCCCCGCCCCTCGCCTCTGCTCGGTGCCCGCTCAGGAAGTGTCCGCGCTTTGCCCCCAGCCCAGAGCCCTGTCAGCGGCTGCGGGGCCGGCTCCTCCTTGCTTCCTTCCTTCCTTCCTTTGTCACTCGGCCCGGGCAGCGGCGGCGGCAGCGGCGGCGGCGGCGGTACAAGCCCGCATTCGCCCGGGTCGGGGGCTGCTCTGTGTGAGGAGCGCTGTCTGCGCAGCCGCCTTGCACTTCCCCACTCCCTCCTCCCCCCTCCTACTCGTCCTCCACCTCCTTCCTCCCCCACCCAGCCTTACACCGCCCAGCGTCCAGCCGCCCGCGTAACAGGCGTCTGGGAATCGCCGGCCGAGCCCCGCGCTCGCCCGCTTCGGCTTGGAGCCGAAGCCCGAAAAGAGCCAATCGCGGACGTCGTTTGTTTGCGGCTCCTCCCGGATGAAGCCGATCGGCCTGAGAAACCAATTAGAAAATGTCGATGGGAAACCACGCCCAAAGAGCGGAAAATGCCGAAGGTAGCCGTACGGAAAGGGCTGGCTAGAGGAGACATTCGACAATGGCAACTGGGGCCAATCAGAATCGCCGGCCTCATGAAAACGCTTGAAGAGTTGAGGACGGTGAAACCCGGAGACGCTGGTGAAACTGCACGGCTGGGCGCCGCCACCGCTTTGTAATTGGTTGGAAAACTCCACTGGGAGCGTACCGCCCTTGGTGATTGGTGAAGGAAAGGGGGCTTCCGAGGACAGTCTAGCCAGTCAGGACTTCTCCTCCTTCTCCAAGGTGGGGAGAAGAAAGCGAAGGGAGGGCGCCTATAAAGCGCCGTCTCATTGGCCTGAAGCTTAGGCGCTGGAGTTGGGGCAAAAGGGAGAGGGAGGGAACCCGAAACCCGCAACGGTGGCCAATCGGCTCTCACTGCCGTTCAATCGCAAGACCTAGCTGCAGTGTGATTGGCCTTCGGCCTTGGTCCCAGGGAGCGGGGAGAAGCCCGACTGGGGTAGTGGCTGACGGCCTGACGGCTAGGCAACTGCCGCCTCCAGCAACGGTGGAGACCGCGGGTCCCCTGCCTAGCAAGTCGGAAAGTACTATGGTCGGCAGTGCTGGGGTCTGAGCGCTCAGCGAGCAGAGGGGTCGAGGGGCTTTCCTCACCCACAGGAGGCTCTCGGCCGGGCGGGGCCAATTCGGCGCACCCAAGGCTCCCCTCTGCCCGGGTCGCGCGTGCCGGGTGTCGGCCTCTTCCCCGAAAGGGGCAGACGGACCAAAGGGCCTTTCCCGGCCTGCTTCAAACTCTCAGACGCTAAAGTGGGAGCATAGCTTCCAGAAAGGCAGCGCCTTTGGGCGGTCGCGCCCCGCCCAGCCGCGGGGGCCACTGATAGAGAGGCTCGCTGCTCTTGGTGTATGCTGCTGGGCCGGGGCTCTGGAAACGCCCCTGAGAAATGAGCTCATGCTGGATGCGCGCGCTCCTGGGGCGCAATTGCCCAGCGCAAAACGGGCCCCGAAAGCAGGTGAAGGGAAATACGGTCAGGCCGGATATTCTGAAGCCTCCGAGGAAATGGGGGGCCAGATCAACTCCTGGTAGCTTTGGATCTTTTGAAGCCAGGGCGATCTATAAAATACAGCTTGAGTAGATGTCATACAGAAGACCAGTGTCCATTGTTCTACCAGAGAACCAGTTCCTTTGGTCTGCTTGAGAACAGTGAGGTATGGCTACGTCAAGATAGCAAAGAAAGTAGAATATAAAGTTGCCATCCTGATTGTAATCCAGTGGTGCCTACAAAGTCATCTCTTTCTGTTACATGCTGTCTCCAGAAAGCACATGTAAAAGTACCCATATTTGATCAGATTACCTGACTGATGCTTTGAAACACTGATGAAGGACTTGGGACAGAACCAAGTAAGCTTTGATGTAAGATAGGAAAGGTCTAGATAGATTCAAATGGCTACAGAGGCCAGACAAGTGCAGCAAATGAGTGAGACTGGCCTTTTGTAAGACAATGGTGAATGACAGGGAAACTGGCAAATTGGAATATCCATGCTATCACTAAAAGGAACAGCTGCTCAGCTCTAGCAGATTGTTGCCTTCAGGAACATGGGTCCAGTGTTCTCAGATGTTCTGTTTTCTCCCTGGAGAAACCCCAAAATTGGATTTTTATGTGAAATCTCTGCATCTTTAAATGTTGGAAACCAAAATTTCAAACGATGCAAGCCAACCCAAAAACATTCCTTGGCCCGTGAGGCCAACAGGCAGTTTGTAATCACAAACCTGAGAATAGGCTTTACCAAGAGCAGTAGAGGTTCTTGTTCTTTGCAATTAAAAGAGCATGAGGTCACTGGATGCCATGGGGGAGGGTAAAGAATGTTAAAAGCAAATTCACCTTGGCAACTTGGTCATCTGAATGGTGCCTCTACATGCTATTTATTATGAAAGACCTTTGCCACTGTTCCCTAAAATGCTGTAAGGCAAAGCTTTAAATCCTGCCTAGCTCTTCCATACTTCCCATCCCTACTCCTAGTTATACTAGCTGGAAAGTAAATAACAAATGTTTAGTTTATACAATTTGGAAACATGGCTATTCTCTTGTATATAATATGTATAAAAATAATCTTCCTTAAGGATATAATTAGTAGCTTTTCTGTTGCTGCCTTCAAATATTTTCAGCTTATCTACTTTCAAAAATCTGGCCAAGAGGAAATTTTATAGGGAAAAAAGTATATTTCAATCTAAAATGAGGACTTGAGGAGGGAGAAGCTTATGAGACAATACAAAACTATTGAAACTAATATTCAGTAGTTTCCCTGAACTTTCAAACTGTCTCTTACTTTCCTACTTGCTGTCAACGACTTACTGCTTTATAATAACTAGCAGTTAATATTTATTAGGTGTTCACGGTAAGCCAGGTAGAGCTCTTAAATGCTTCACGCAAACTGTCCCAGTTAAATTCATAAAAATTGTATGAAATAAATATATCACCTCTAATTTTAAGATGACAAAACTGAGGCCCAGAACTTACCCAAGACCCAAAAAGCTAAAGAGACAGAACCAGGATTCAGATCTCCTGTTCTTACCTGTTCTCAGCCTCCACTCCGTACCTCTCCTGATATATCTTGCTTTGCTTTATCTTACAGTCTAAACCATATGCCTTGTACTATGGTGTGTACCTGATTGTGAGCACATCCACTAGTATACAGTTTGGTTTCCTCTGAGGCTCATCAGAATTTCCTTTGTAGAGATCAGTGATTCTAAACCAAAGCAACAATAAACCAAGAAATTAGAAAAAGATAAATGAAGAAAAGCTAGGGGGTACAAAACAGGTGAGTAGTATAGTGGGAAAAGATGTTGGTGAGTGCTCTACAAGATTATAGATAAGAATGAAAGTGCACAGCCTGGCACAGTGGCTCACACCTGTAATCCCAACACTTTGGGAGGCCAAGGCAGGCGGATCTCCTGAGGTCCAGAGTTCAAGACCAGCCTGACCAACATGGAGAAACCCCACCTCTACTAAAAAAATATAGAAAACTAGCCAGGCGTGGCAGCGCATGCCTGTAATCCCAGCTACCCCTGCAGCTGAGGCAGGAGAATCGCTTGAACCGGGAGGCAGATGTTACGGTGAGCTGAGATTGTGCCATTGCACCTGGGCAACAAGAGTGAAACTCTGTCTGAAAAAAAAAAAAAGCCGGGCACTTTGGGAGGAACTGTTCCAAACAAGTCCAATGCAAAACTCTTCCAAGTACTTCAATTATTCTGTCCTGGGTGACAGAGTGAGACTGTCTCAAAAAAATATTTTGAGACAGTCTCACTCTGTCACCCAGGCTGGAGTGCAGTGGCATGATCTCAGCTCACTGCAACCTCTACCTCCCAGGTTCAAGTGATTTTCCTGTCTTGACCTCCTGAGTAGCTGAGATTACAGGTGTGTGCCACCACACCTGGTTAATTTTTGTATTTTTAGTAGGCATGGAGTTTCACCATGTTGGCCAGTCTGGACTCGAATTCCTGGCCTCAAGTGATCCACCTGTCTCAACCTCCCAAAGTGCTAGGATTACAAGTGTGAGGCACCGCACCCAGCCATACATATATATTAAACTTAACGTATACTAAATGGGCTGGGCTTGGTGGTTCATGCCTATAATCCCAGCACTTTGGGGGGCCAAGGTGGGCAAATTGCTTGAGCCCAGAAGTTAGGCAGGCATGGTGGTGCATGCCTGTAGGCCCAGCTACTCAGCACGCTGAGTTGGGAGGATCACTTGAGCCCAGGAAGTCAAGGCTACAGTGAGCCAAGATTGTGCCACTACACTCCAAGCTGGGCAATGGGAGTGAAACCCTGTAAAAAGGGAAAAAAACCTAAAAACTTAAATCTTATCTTTAAAATGTTATAAAATATGGTCTCTGTGCTCCAGATACTTGCAGTCTGATATGATGAAATGGAAAAGTTGTTTAGTAATGAGACTTAGGAAAGCCCTCCAATATGACAGTCAAAGAGAGGAGTAACAGGAAAGGGCCAGGCACAGTGGCTCCTGTAATCTCATGCCTATAATCCTAGCACTTTGGGAGGCCAAGACAGGCAGAC